TTGGCCCCGTGACCTCCGACCTCCACCCCCTATTTTCCGTGAGCGTGGGCTCTCGGTTCTGCGTACTCGTTTGCCATATTGGCCCTGGCCGATTTGATCCGAACCCTGTGTGAAGCGCCTGGTAGGCAAGATTCAAGTCGATAGCTCTGTTGATTGTGCCAGTGGAAGACCAACTTTCTAATTGACTGATTGATACTCATATTGGTTAAGGTTTACGAAACTAACAAGCATTATTTTACCCCATATCGTGACAGCTACTCTGCTGCCGTAAATCCCAGTAGCGTCAAGTATCGTGATTAGCTTTGTCCCCGCTGACAAATAAATTAAACACATAGCTTAACAAGGCTAAGCGATAATGGATTCCAAAGACGAGGCCATAAGGTAGCGTCAAAAGCCTCTGTAAGGTGACTAGTTAGCGATATTTATATTCTGCAACTTGATTTATTGGATTAGCAAACCAAAGGGCTGTGGATAGTGCCTTGATAGAATATAGACTGTCCTCCTTCAGCATAATCCCACATTTATCCAGAGTTCTTCCGAAAAATCGTCAATTGGCTGTCCGGGAAAATGGTTCTAGTGAACTCAGTCTGATACGGTCAAGAGAAATTCCAAATTTTTCGCCTTGTCCATCATCCGTATATGTTGACTATCAATGATTTATTGGCTTCATTGTGTCACGCACCCTTTTCACGGTAAGTGTAAAAACTTACATTAACACATGCTTCTCGATACTCAGATCCTGTGGTTTCTTTCTGCTCCCCATTCAATAGACCGCCCAGGACACAGTCAACTACAATTGCAAGTCAGTCGACTATTCGGGCGTAATGCGTACGCTGTCGCCAGACTACTCAAATTTCCTGTTTCTTGATGATGGTTTCCGCTACGACCATGAACACAAAACGTTTGAAGAGTTTGCCGCCAAAATTGAACAGCGAATAGCCCTACCGATTCTGGGTTTGTACGCAGTCCTTAAAACCAAGGCACTGCTTTTCTTCCTTCTGTAAAAACTAATGGAACTGATGTTTCGTATTTTATAGGACAATTTTACATAGATACTAAGATTCACATTGTTGGAGGTTTTTAGTCGAGTAAAAAAAGAAAATACAGAAAATATTTTCATTGCGGACTAAATTTTCTAGTAAATGTACTTCCGCAAACGTTCTTCACGACCACAGGGACGCATTTAAATAAAACAAGGGACATTCTGGTCGTTGGACTCGAACTATCATCAATTACTGGAAGGAAAGACCAAATCTATCGTCCTCGAAGTTACGAACCACGAGGTACCTAGCACAAAGCGGTTATTTTTTATGCAAACAGAACTAAGAAGTCAAGGTGGCAAGGAATATTAATTTTTTTCTCCAAGACATTGTACAACTCCGCCGGAGGAGAGATAGCGGGTGCATTATGCGAGGAAATCTCTACTTTAGAATAGTGCAAAAGTGACGGACATCTTGTTTCCGTTCAAGCTAATTTCGAGTAGGTTTGAAAGCGTAGAGATTGATGTTAATGCAAACGGCTTGGGAGTTCTCTTTTTCTCAATCAGATATCTATCTTTATGCTCCGTCACCCACCCATCCGACCGTTTCTTTTCAGCTTGCCCTTCGGATTTATTTTTCTAGGACCCAGACTAACTTTTGATGTCCATCATATCGATAATTAACTTTGTACTAGGGCTTACGAACCTTTGCATTCTCTCGTCTTGTAACAGGGCACCTTTTTGCATTACTTCAGAGGGCGGCTGGGCCATTCCAACGGCATTGGTTGTCATTGGCGGTGACCATGCGACCATTGGGGCAATCGCGGAGCGCATCAAACTGGGCATTCCGGTGATTATCCTCAAAGGCAGTGGCGGAATTTGTGACGATATGGAGACATTCGTGTCCTTTTGTAGACAGAACCGGTGAGTGAGGTTAACTTTCAGCTTTTTTCTGCTAGGAGTGTGACATCAACA